TTCTTTTTAGTGTAGAAGAAGGAAAAGATGCTCTTTGTATTTGAATTTGTAAACCATGATTACCTTTTCTTACAAACCTTTTAAAATAATTCTTCCATAACAGAGAGGATCTTGATGCAGTTTTTGAAAAAATATTACTGGAGAAGCCTGATTTTGAGCCTCAGGTAAACTATCTTCATATTGTTGGCTTTGTATCTGTAATAATGGGGATATAATTTTGTGATGGAGCAGAATAGATGATTTTGAAGTGAATGGAAATAAAATTTTTCACTTCAGTTGAAATGTAATGTTTTCTTTGTTGAAATTTTCACTTAAGCAAAATCCGCAGCTAAGAAAGAAGTAGAATCAAAAGCTAACTGGACTGTTCAAAAACAAAAATTGCAGACAAGACAGAAGCTGACCTAAATGCAAAGAAAAGTGATTCCAGGGTACCATTTTCCTCCTTTTCTATTCTAATATATATTCTTGATATTCTCCACGGAGTAATTGCTTTAAAGATCAGCGTTTGAGAGAACTTATGTGATTCATTTCTTGCTTAAATAACACTCATAAAGACAGGTTGTTATACCTAATTATTAAGTTTTTGTGCAATAAGATAATTTGTAAGAGAATTGTTTTGCAGCCTTTTTATGATTAATTGATTATCTAACACTCATAACTCTAATTTTGATCAGTGCCAAGAGACTTCTTCTCATGGTGATGAAAGTCTTTAATATAACTTCTTCTGCATTAATTTGGTCTTAATGAGTTTAACGTTTACATTTTTTTTAATATGTTTTCATGGCCTGGAGTAACGTACGTAATGTGAGAGGAATTGAGTGAGGAGATGCCTTGCTAAGGGATTATGATGCTTTCGGTAAATGCATCACTGTTCTTATTGCCATCACTCTGATTTCTTCTGCAGTCTTAATTGAGAATGCTTGTTGCAATTCACAGATGCAGCTAATGGTCAAGTATTTACTTCTCTTGTTGTCTCTGTATGAAAAAATAAAAATAAAAATAAAAAAACTTGGCAGTTGTTTAGTATTTTCTGGTCTCCTTGAATAATAAATTAAGTGTCTATTTGATTTAGGCATTTGCATTCTAACGCTGGGCTGGAATCTGAGTGTCAATTAAAATTTTCTCTTACAAAAATAAATGAGGCCCTGACGTAGGGTGGCAATGATTTAGGTCGAAAACGGTTTTCGTTTGACTTGTTTCTAATTCAATTTTCTAATATCTATATTTGAACCCGATTTAATATTAAAATATTATTTTATATATTCGATCCAATTTATATATTTATAAATTATAATCGATTTGATTCGAAATTAATTTAATAATTTTAATTTAAAATAATATTTATAAAATAATATTTTTAATATAAATTATATTTTAATTATACATAAATATAATATTTTTATTAAGTTAATATTTTAAATTAAATTATTAAATAATAATTTATTAATATAATACATATATAAATATAAAATTAAATAAAATAATAAAATAATATATTTTATAAATCTAGATCGGGTTGAGATGATGTCATTTAAAATCCAACTCCAATCCGAACCAAACATTAGGAAAAAAAAATCAATCCAACCTTTGATTTTAAAAAAAAAAGATTTTATCGGACCAAAATAAATCAAAATTCATAAAAAAAAACGAATTATTTTATGTTGCCACCCTAACCTGAGCCTCCCCGTTGCCAAAGGCAAAAGGTAGAAGGGAAAAAGAATAATTAATTATTCTATTTTCGCTTAAAGAGAAAATAGTAGTCACTGCAAATACGAAGCATATTGATGGAGGATTATCCTCAAGGGATTTTATGAGCAGTTATTGTAGGCATGGATAAAGTAATTAGGGCTTTACATATTTGTGTGGCAATAAGGCTATAATTAGTTAGCATTGTGATCTTCAGATTTAGACTATTATTAGAAGTTAAGATCAGAAACTCTCCGCTCTTTATCTACCTTCTCTCTTCTCTGCATTCTTTTGTAACTCTCTCTTTTAGCTGTCCTTCCTCATATGTGACCCTGGATCTCTCTTGGCTGCAGCATCTTTTCACTGATGAGAAAGGTGTGTCCACATTTAAGGGTATTCCATTTATGACCTCAGCTGGCCATGCACATCTTCCATTCCTAAAGCAAGCATTAAATGAACATCAAATGAACACAAAAATGATAACTGGACACCTAGAAAACAATATAGTTTCTGTTCCAAGGTTCTAACTGCACTTCTCATCAGTCGTTACTACTTGCTGCTGGAGCAACAATATTTCTTTTTTTTTTCCTCTTTGAGTGGTCTACGTCAGTGTATGTTGCTGTCACAATCTATATATCAAAGGATTTTGTTAATTGTTGCTAATACATTTAATTTCAATCTGGTGATACAGATTATTAAACTTGTTTGTGAATGCATCTATTTCTTCCGTGACTCTCATTCGTCGTCCATCAAGCAGGGTAACATTCATGTGAAAGATTTTTATCATTGGATGATTGATGGTCCCTGGGTTAGCAAAATTTTCCATGGCTTTTTCTGACCAGACATTGCGTGTGTATTACATTAATGTCATGAAACATTGCTGTTATGGGATTTATGACAGCACATTTTGCATTTGCTGCTAGAGGAAAGCAAGCAGGTTACCGACCTTGTCCCGACGAGGTAGACGAGGGGCTGGCAATTCACCACTTTTCATGGATCCGATGAACTTGGATTGGATTTTGTTTATAGAGTTCAGCAGAATTATTTTCTAGGCCCACCGTACGCTGCAACAGTTTTGTCCTGCCTAGTTTTGGATGGGCTGAGTGAGTAGGATTGCAGTACAGGATGCGCGTAGGTCAGCATAAAAACGCTTAAGCTCAACTTCTTTATAAAAAATTTCGAACTTTAAATTTGCAATTGCCTTCCCACGTCAGAAAGTTTGGACATGTGGGTGTAATTTATATGAGATTTTATATTAATTTAAATTAATTAATTTTAAATTAATGGCATATTTTATCACTGAAAATAAAAAATAAAAATGATTTAAATGTCTTGAAGAGCCGCTGGCAATGAACCCATCAAACATTATATTTGAATATCTTAGATAAGTGAGACTCACGTCTCGCAAAAGGTAAACTTTGCAGGTCGGATAGATTGGTTTTGAATTGATGACATATTCTATCATTGAAAAAAAATTTGCCCAGACTTCATTTTTATTTTTTTAGAAAGAATGTTGTAATTTGAAATACGAGAAAAGATTATAGATGCTTGAATTTAAATTTTAAATTTGTTAGATATAATTTTTTAAAAATAATTGTATGAATTTTTTTTATAAAAAAAGAATTATATAAATTTTTTATAAAAAAATAATTATATGAATTAATTAGGTTAAATATCAAGTTTAATAAATTTTATTTGATAAATTTAACCTTTACTCAAAATACAATTGGATTATTCGTACAAATATCATATAAATTTTATCAATGATGAGTACATTTACTGTATATCTTGAGTTTTTCAACATAAATTTCAATTATTGAAAAAACAAACTATATCTAAAGAGTAGAGATTCACTTACATAAATGTAAATTTTAGGTTTTATTTATCTTTGAATCAAAATTAAATTTATGATTAATTTAAATTAAAATAATATTTTTAATCTTAACTATTTTGATTCGAAAGTAAACATAATAAAATAAAATAAAACATATACCGACAAAAATATATCTTTCGTGATATCTAAATAACAAAATTATCAAAAAAGAAAAAAAAATCCGTAATATGATTGATTTTTGTTGAAAAAGAAAAATATGAAAATAAGATCATTCGTCTATCCATCAATTTAAAAAAATATATTAAAAAATTATCAATGATATATACCTATTAGACCAATTCAAATAAAAAATCGATGTTATTAATTGTGATATGAAAATCCCTTTAATCATAATGATAAATGAATTTTTATAGTTTGTTTTGGGGAGAAATTAAAAAAGAATATTTTTAAAGCTGAAAATGCTGCATGAAGGCAATCCCGGTTTCTATTATCATATTGGATCTAGTGCCAATGCTTTGATCTGCTAAACCCAACCTCTTCATATCATATAAAATCCATTTATATATATAAAATTAATCATATCTTTTTTTTTTCTTATTCTAACATGTACCATAGCCTTTTGTTTTCACATCCGACCTCTCCTTTTTTTTATAATTTTTTTAAAAAATATTAAATTTTTAATTTTAATGATAAAGATTCATCTTTAATACCTTTTAATTAAAAAAATAGTGATATATAATTTTAATTGTTCATGCAACGATGACTTCGAAATCATAAAACAATTTATTTTTTTGAAAAATAATCTAAAAAAAAACCCTTTGAAATTAGAACTTTAATTTCTTCTATTCTTAAGTTATTTTTTTCTCTTTTAATAAAAAAAAAAGATAATAAGATAATTACGAATTTTTTTTATTTCTGTAATTTGTGTTAGAATATAGGTGTTTGCATGAAAATAATGTATATATCTCATGTATGATTGAGGCTGGAAATTTAGTAATCTCCTAATTATTCAAATATTTCCTCAAAAAATAAAGAAAAAAGAGAGAAAACTTCAAATTAGAACTATATCTCTACAAATCTGTAATTTTTTACCATGCAATGAAAAAAAAAAAAAAGAAACTGCAAAACAAATAAAAAAAAAGTGTAAATGCATTTAAGTTGGTTCATAAATGTTATGTGGTCCAAATCATAACTGGGGGTATTGGCATTCAGCCTAGCAAAGGATCCTGCAGAAAAAGATCGAAGATACTGATATTGATTATGATTCTGTACTGAAATTAATAAAGAAATAAAGCAAATTGCCATTTTTTTTTTATTTTTAAATGATAAATATGAAATGTGGGGGACTGAATCAAATCAAAGAGAACCCCAAAAAGGATCACGAAATATCTGTGATATACTTTGATTTTAATGATTTTTACTTGTATGAATTTTTTCTCTGATATTCCTTCAGGGGCTCCACTTTCTCTCCCTCCAAACAGCCCCACCAACCTTCATTTTATTGTTGTTTTCTCTATAAATACAATCTCTCATTACATTCATACATCTCTTGTGAACTTGTTTATTGGTCTCTTCTATTAATTGATGACCAATTTTAGTGCTACCATTTTTTTTTATGTTACATTATATAATACATGCAACAGTCTGCTTCTTTTGTTCATTAATGTTGATATTTGGTAATAGTCTGGGATACTACTACTCTCTTATTTATTAGCAAAAAGTTATATCAAAGTATGGATGGTGGCTGTGGCGGCGGCTGCGGTGGCTGTTCCAAGGACGACATAGCGGTGGAGTTTGGAGATGAACCCCATGTTTTAGCAGTGGATGATAACCTCATTGATAGAAAACTAGTGGAGAAGTTACTCAAGAACTCCTCCTGCAAAGGTACATTATAACTGGACCCTTTTGCAAAGGATTTTGTTTAGAGTAGTTAAATATTTTCTTGTGTCTTGCTGCAGTAACAACTGCAGAGAATGGGCTGAGGGCATTGGAATATTTGGGATTGGGAAGTGATCAGAGGAATACCTTGGAGGTAACTTTAACTTATACCATTCCCTTTGCAAAGTTTGCAAGCTGAAAAAATAAAATTCATGTTGTCGTTTATATGTATCTGCAGATTTCAAAGGTAAATCTAATAATAACAGATTATTGCATGCCTGGAATGACAGGCTATGAGCTGCTTAAGAAAATTAAGGTATTCAAAATTTCTAGAATGAAGAGTTATTACTTTTTTAGTACCATTTTTTAGGATTATTTCTCACCATTGCAATTATGTTTTATGTTTTGGAAATTAACAACAGGAATCATCAGTTCTGAAGGAGGTTCCTGTTGTAATCCTGTCATCTGAAAATAGTCCCACTCGCATTAGCCAGTAAGTAATTTCCTGAAGATGTATTCTTTACAATTTTTTTTTTCAACCAAGCATTTGGCACCAGAAATTAAGATAACATAGACGGATTTTTAATGATGAAAGTATTCCGTTAGTAATTATCAACGGTTTATCGATAGATTACCGATAGATCATAATTATAAAAGAATTCGATAATTATCATATCGATGGAGATAATTTCATCGATATTTTGTAAATAAATATTTGACAGAATTGAGAAAAATAGACGCAGAAATCATGGACATAATAATTTGTTAGTAAATATTTTACCGACTTCTTAACGATGGATTATTCCGTATATATTAAATTTTGATAAAAATACATTAATTTGCAAAAAAAAATAATTTTAACAACGAAATTTTCATCATTAATCTATTGATAGCTAATATAAACTTAAAATCCTAAAATCCATTTCTTATTTTCCCCTTTTTCTCTTTCGCCAACCCCACATTCCCCAATCCCTTTCTTATTGATCAATGATAAGTGCATGTATCTTTCTTTTAAAAGAGTCAAGTTGAAATTCCTTTCCTCGAATAAAAGAAAAATTAATTTTCACTGTTAGATTCTAATGTTAAGATTTTGTATATACGTGAACAGATGCTTAGAGGAAGGTGCTCAGATGTTCATGCTGAAGCCCCTGAAACAGTCAGATGTTAAGCAACTGAAATGCCATTTGATGAGATGAAGTAGCTGAGCTTTTGAGGACAAAAGTAGCCATGACCAAGATTATTGTATGGGTAAGATGTGTAAGACAATTACTTTCTGATGCCAATTGGTTCTGTTCCCTCTCCACATTTTGTATCAGAAAAACAGTTTCAGTTAAATATTTCTTTTTTTTTTTTTTTGGTGAGAAAAATCATTGGATTCGTTCTGACCTTATTGTAGAATGCAAGCATCATTTTTAAGTTTTGAATATTGCATTTCAACCTTTCAAATGCTAATTACTCCTGTTTTGCTTCATCTCCACATTTTGTATAAGAATTAAAAGTTTTAATGTCTAATTTTTATGAATAGAATGGCTCTTTTAATCAAAATAAAAACAACTATTAAATTAAATTCCACTATGATTTTTTTTTATACTTGAAATTATCAAAGATTTAATTTTAATTAATGAAATTAAAAATTTAATATTTTATCAATAAATTATACGATTATTGGTCACTTTTTTATTAAATGCAAATATCATTAACTAAAAAATTTTAATCCTGAAGTTTTAGAATTCTTAGTGTTCATGCATGATATCTTAAAAGAATAGAGATCAAATCCCCTTTTCTCAAATAAAAAAAAAATTGGATAATGAATTTGTAGTACACATTTTATTTATTATTTTATCTATTAATTATAAGTATGAATTTTTAACTCTAATTAGTCACATTTTCTAAATTATAACTTTTTTTTAATTCGTAAAATGAAAATTGATGAAATTAAAATCCTTGTCCACATGCCTGCCTCAAAAGTATCTTAGCTAATAGTTCAACAAGTAGAAGGCAGCCATGGTTCTTCTTTGAAACATGGAAATGAAAAGAAGCATCGGATTCCTTTTGCACCATATGCAAACACCATGCATGGATAGAAAACGTAAATGGTGAAATTCACCATCTTTGCTAATAAATTTGAGCCCTCTCATTTAGTTAGTATATATGAACTTTTATGGATTTTAATTTTTCATATTTTCAAAAGCATATCTTTAATTTTGAAGCAATGGAAGAAAATAATCATTGGATTCCTTTTGACCTGATAGTAAAATGCAAGTACATATCAATATCATCATACATTTCAATCTTTCACTTGTTTTGCTCCTTCTCTACCTCCACATTAATTTTCACCTTCTTCTTCAATGCAAGCATCATTAATAGAAAAAGTTAATAATCAAATTTAGGAACTTCGAAAAAAATTGAACAATTTATCAGATTTGGATCATTTTCGATTCATAGCATATTTCAGTCTATTTATTATTTGAACAATATTAAATAAAAATTATAATTACAATCGAATAATATTTGATAGACATCATACAATACGTTAATATGCGAAATTTAAATTTAAATTCTAATAGTTTCAAGATCTCATCCTTCCTTGCAAGATATTGAAATCAATTTTATTTATCTCTTTTATTTTTTGTATATATATATATATTAAAATTAATAGTTAAAAATATATAAAATTATTTTAATCTTATATTATATAAATATCTCTCTCTCTCTCTCTATATATATATACATATATATATATATATATGAATGTATAAATAAATTTTTATGACTCCAATCCAATCAGTCACATCTTCCAACGCATGGCACATGATGCTATCAACGAGAATGATTTTTCATTATACAGACAATCTGAAATTTTGATTTGTAATAACTAATATCTGCTTGACGCCAATACTCATCCTTTTCATTATTGCAGGAAACTCCTAATTCCTGGAGTAATCCCCTCCTCTAATTATGCTTCCCATTTTGTGTGCTATACATCATTTTGAATTTGTTAGTTATTCAACGTTTCTTAATTAGAACTCCATGCTTAATTCAATTAATTCGTATATTTATCTTTAAAAAATGATATTTAATAATTTTGATATTTAAATTTTAACATTTATAAATTTTTTATTTTATTTTCGAATTGCAATTCTTCTTGTACAAAAAAAAAAAAATTTCTTTGTTTAATCTTTTTACTTGTTTCATACATGAATTAGCGACCCAAGTAGTCTTTTTTTTTTCCCTTAATACAGGCAGGTCCATCTGAAAAATTATAGGAGCAGCTAAAACTGGAATCATAATTACAGATCATAAGCATATTCTTTGTCTTACTTAAAACAAGCATCCCAATGCCTTTTCAAGTCATCTTGTCAAACACAGGATAAATTTAAATTTATTAGTAAATAGACAGGTCTTAATCGTCAAGGAAAACGTAGCAGATAATGATATAACTTGAAAGTTATTACATGATAAGCCTTCACATCAGCCAAATGCAGATTCCTACCCAACTAAAGCATATTGAAGAAACCTTCAAATTTGGATTCATTCAGACCCAAGACATGATTGGATTCCTTTGTTCTTTCCCCCCATTTTTTTCCTTAAAAAAAGGAGCAACAAAAATTTGTTCATCTTAAAAACCTGACAAAACTAGGCTGTTTTTGATCCTGTAAAACACTGAACAAAGTTATTCTCTTCTGCTGAGTCAGGACCAAATCACAATTCTGATCCTATGAAAGACTTTAAAAATCAAATATATATTCTTTTCATACAATTCAAAGTGACAGACAAAATTAAAGGTGGGGCGGATCAATGGAAATGCTTGAGTCATCCAAGCCAAAAATTGCGTGATAGAGTAACAACTTACAAACAAGCATTTCCCTAGTCCTCTGAATGCCAAGGCAAAACTCTAACATAAGGGCAATAGCAATAAGCTTGGATGAACCCTTTTTTCGGCTCTTTCTTCCTTGAAAATTTGATTGCCTAAAACCCCACTAGACCAAGCAAGAATATGCAGAAAAAGCTGGAAAGAAAGGTTACACCTACCAAATAGCAACAAAATTCATCAAGATATAGTTGTTCGTTAAGGTAGGAAAAATGAAAGAGAATATTCGTTGTTGGCATTTTCTATATCTTATGTTATTTTATATAAAGTAAATAAGAATAACATAAAAAAATTGGGCTTAGGGAATGGAATAGGTTCGAAATTGAAAACTCAGCCTGGGGCAGGACTTCTACATTTGTTTAGATGGGACAAGTGTTGATAACGGCTTTGTTATCATGATAGAAAGGTTCGGCCTGCTTGGCCTTGAGGCTTCAAGTCCAACTAGGCTATGGCATAACCTTTTTGCCACTGCAATGGCTGCACAAGTTGCCAATAGAAAGGCTCAAATGGAAGTTAGCATGCTTGTACGTGATCCACTGATCCTGCAATTTGCCAATCCATTAATGAGAACCATTGGCACGTAAAACTCCATGAGTAACATCATGTATAAGTAAACCTCTTACATGAGCTCAATACATTGAGGATGATGTCTCAAATCATTCCCCAAGGCTCAAGCATTAATGAACCCTAGCCAACCTTTAATTGCACTATCAGGGCCTTCCTTTGCGTTGGAATTAACGAACAAATTACCAACAGGTGACTGACTTGCATTCAATAAACTGTATTCTTGTAATACCTGAACCAAATCATTTATCTTGGGTTACTTAACATTTTTCCTTGCTATTGTCATCTGCTTTGCAGCAATGGTGGTGGCATCAAAAGACATAAAATTGGCAAATGGTGTTCAGCAGCTATTGGCTTCTAGTTTTTTAAGAATCAGCACTTCAAGGTCGAGGATCTTCATCATATCAAACTAAATAAACATTGTTTGTGGTTCTCTCTTTCCATCAAATATCTCCATTACTGCTGCATTTCAGTTATTATTCTTGTCTGTGATGAGGTTCTAATTTAACATCCAAATCACATGTACTAAATTTATCCCTATTCGTGTCTGTGATGATGTTCTAATATAACATCCAAATCACATATACCAAATTTGTCCCTAACTGCTTAAGAATCTCATGTGTTCCTGATCGCTTATGTAGGTCAGCATAATGCAGTTTTTACATGGTTAAGTATAAGTAAGCATTGATGTGCATGTGCTCAGCCTCAGCTTGTAACCTCTTATAACCTCAGTGATGTTAAAGGGATCGAAATTGCAGGGGCACTGGAGAATGTACTTGCAATAGCTGCTGGGATTATTGAAGGGATGAATCTTGGTAACAACTCCATAAGGCAGCTCTTGTTGCACAAACCCCCCCCCCCCCCCCCCCGCCGCTTTCTTTTTTCTCATTTGCTGGCCTATTGAGCAGAGTGCATGTCTGGATGCAAAGCCGACAACAATTACTAGTCTATCTGGAACTGGAGACATTATGCTTAATTACATGTTTTGTAAATCTTTCAAGAAATAGAAGAGTTGGAGTTGATTTTGGATCAGGTGCTTGTAAGTTCTATACTGGCTGTTGATGCTTAAAATCTTGCTACTAATATGATTAGTAAGTGCTGTGTAGATAGCCGAAGGTGTGTCAACCGCTGGAGCTGTGATTGCATTGGCCCAGAAATACAATTTTAAGATGCGGTCCTCCTTACAGCAGTTGCTCGGATTATAGAAAGTGAGCTAACCCCTAAGAAAGCTGTTCTTGAATTAATGAGCCTCCCTCAGGTCATTCAAACTCCTTAATCTTGATAAAGAAGGAACCTTTTATGACTATCATGTACATGTCTTTTCTGTGTGGGCTTTAATGGTGGTATAAAGCTGTTGATTTTTTTTACCAAAGAGGTCATAATCTGGGACAGGAGAAAGGATTACAGATATTAAAATTTGCCAGGGGATGGATGGAGCTCTACCATTAAGAACCTGATTGTCATTTAACTCAGCTGCAGAGCTGCATCTGGTCATTCCAAGAAAAAAAAAAGTGCAGATAATATTAAACGGTAAATTCTTTTTTTTTCTTTTAAATAAATTTTATTATGCTTTAGGAATGGGAAATAAAATACCTTCTCCAAAAAATACAGTTAGAAGATAGAATAACTAATACGATGTACATATATTTAACCTTAAGTTGTTTTTTTTTTTACCAAGGTGGTCATAATCTGGGATAGGACAAAAGGGTATAAGTATTGAGATTCAAACTCTAGACATATTGAACTTTCGTGTAGGACCAGGCGAGTGGTGCTAGACTATTTTTTTTGACGGTCCAGGTTGTTACTAGGAGACGCTTTAATTTTTGCAGCTTCACTCTGTTAATGTCAATGTTGAACTTGATCTATCGAATATGCAGAACCCATCATGTCCTGCATAAATAAAACATTCTAGTACCTAAACTTGCAACCATATCACGCCTCAATCTTCAAACCAAGTCCCTGGTATCAATGCCTATTGACTCAAATCCCATAAGAAATTTGTTTGAGATTTGTTAGAGATTTGTCAGATATTGCTTGATGAACAAGAAGACTTGCAAAAGAAGAATTCTAAGAGAAAGAGGATTCTTAATAGGTAAGTTTGACTTGCAAGAGAAGAGTTCTAAAAAGAAAGGGATTCTTAATAGGCAAGTTTGACTTACAAGAGAAGAATTCTAAGAGGAGTGGGATTCTTAATGGGCAAGTTTGTATGGTTATAAATAGGTGAAGTCTCTACAGGGTTAGATATGAGAAAAAGATGAAAGAGAGTTGTAGGATTTTGTGGGATAGACACCCCATAGGAGTATTGGGGCTCTACGTCTTATGGGTGTGTATGTTTGTTTGTGGGTGGACTAGAGGAGATTGAGAGGGTCCACATAGGTATGATGTATGGGAACATATGGGTATGTGTTTGGTTGTGTTGAAAAGGTGCACAAAAGTTTGGGTTTGTGTTTGTTTGGGTAGAGAATACTTCATAGGACTAGAGGAGATTGAAAGTGTCTTATGAGTATTGATTGTTGAGTGGGGTTGATGATATGATGTATGTTTGTAATTCTCTACAACTAGTGGATCTTGTTTCTCATCCATGGATGTAGGTCAGTTGGATCGAACCACGTTAAATTGTTGTCTCTTGTGTGTTTGATTTATTGTTTGATTTCGCTTCCGCTGGTGTGATTGGATTTGAGGCTTTTAGCCCAACAAATGATATCAGAGCTGTGATGTGCCCAACAAATGGTATCAGAGCTGTGGTGTTCCCCAACAAGTGGTATCATAGCTGAAAGTTCAAAACGTGAGAAGAGTTGAAGATTCAAGATGTGGGAAGAGCCGATGGTTCGAGACATGAGAAGAGTTGACAGTTCGAGATATGAAAAGAGCTTAGTTTGAGACATAGGAAGAAGTAAGCTTAGAGAAGCTCGATTCAAGAGAAGAGTTCGAGTTTAAGTTTTGAAGATTGAAGATTAGTTTGTATGAAGCGTGAAGACACAAGAGAAGAGAAGATGATTATAAGACTTCCATTGCAGGTAGAACCAAGCATGTCTAGCATGAAGACAGATGATTGATGGAATTTGAGTCAAGGTGAAGATTGTTGGGAATATTGACTCAAATCCCATAAGAGATTTGTTTGAGATTTGTTAGAGATTTGTTTGAGATTTGTCAGATATTGCTTGATGGACAAGAAGACTTGCAAAAGAAAAATTCTAAGAGAAAGAGGATTCTTAATAGGTAAGTTTGACTTGCAAGAGAAGAATTCTAAAAGGAAAGGGATTCTTAATAGGCAAGTTTGACTTACAAGAGAAGAATTCTAAGAGAAAAGGGATTCTTAATGGGCAAGTTTGTATGGTTATAAATAGGTGAAGTCTCTACAGGGTTAGGTATGAGAAAAAGATGTAAGAGAGTTGTAGGGTTTTGTGGGATAGACACCCCATAGAAGTATAGGGGCTCTACGTCTTATGGGTGTGTATGTTTGTTTGTGAGTGGACTAGAGGAGACTGAGAGGGTTCACATAGGTATGATGTATAGGAGCATATGGGTATGTGTTTGGTTATATTGAAAGGGTGCACAAGGGTTTGGGTTTGTGTTTGTGTTTGTTTGGGTTAAGAATACTCCATAAGACTAGATGAGATTGAGAGTGTCTTATGAGTATTGATTATTGAGTGAGGTTGATGATATGATGTATGTTTGTAATTCTCTACAACTAGTGGATCTTATTTCTCATCCGTAGATGTAGGTCAGTTGGACCGAATCACGTTAAATTATTGTCTCTTATATGTTTGATTTATTATTTGATTTCGTTTCTAGTAGTGTAATTAGATTTGAGGCTTTTAGCCCAACAATATTGTCTTAGCCACCCATTGAGTGCTATCTCAAGTAAGAGATATCAGGGAACAAGAGCTCAGAGTCATCCTTGAAATGGTTCAAGTTCAAGAAGTACGAGGAAACAAAGGGTTTAAACTTTACAATCTCGGATGTTTTTTTAACTTTTAATCACTCCCAAGTTTTTTTTTTTTTTAAATGTCGTCACAAGGAAATAAAACAAAAAATTATAAGTATTAAAATTTAAATATCATCTTTTAAAGATAATTATAAAAATTAACTAAATTAATCTTAGAGCTACAATTTCAATGGTAGTTTCTTTGAGAGACTAAACTTTTACGTGGATTTCTATCTCTTTTTTGGCAAAAAAGGTTAAATGGATTGTTGATATAAATTGAAGGCAAATCTTTAATTATTAAGGTTATATTTATAGAAATTTTTTGTAATTCATGTATTATTTATTTTTAAATTTAAAGATGATAGTGTATTATTAAACGAAAAAACATTACTTAAAATAAAATTTTAATTAGTCTGAAATGCTCATAGATAATAGTTAACCGAGTTCTAACTTGAAATTTTATATGCCAATCAAACAAAATTTAAGGGCAAGAGTTGAAATTTATTGTAATAACTCGCAAAAAATTAAATTGACTAAAATTTTAGGGACTCTTTTGATATATTCAACAGTCGAGGATGAAATGCTATTAAGGTTAAAATTTAGGGGTGATAGTGCAATTTCCCCGCACTTTTAGGATACAATTTTTTTGGTTACTGTTATTGATGAAAAACCCTAGTGGAAAAGAAGCAAGAAAAACCTTTAAATAAAATAAAAATAAAACAAACTCAAAAACCTTAAACCTCAGCCAGCAACCAGGCCAGAAGATGAAGAAAACCCAAAAACCAAACAAAGAAAAAGAGGAAATAATGAGTAATACCTCAAACACCATAACCAAGACGAACGAGTCAGAGATATTTGCTTCATGTTCCTTCTCCAGCCTTGGCCTCCACTCCTCTTTGTGTGACCAACTCCGAGGTCGGTTGTTGTTGTTGTTTTTTATATAATTATTTTATTTTTACAGACATAGATAATGATAATCTATTCCCATGTAATGAATTTTATTTCTTCTTAACAGAAAGGTTGGGTTTTGAAGCTCCAACTCTCGTTCAAGCTCAAGCTATTCCTGTTATACTCTCTGGTCGTCATATGTATCCTTTGTACTTTACCACTCTATTTTAGCAATTTTTTTTTGCATAATGGGTTTTTTTTCTAGCATTTTTAATACACATAATCCCTCTTTTTCTTTTCATCATTAGATTGTTGTATTTAGCAATTTTAAGTGCAAATTTTCTTTTATTTTCTTAATTGGGCTGTTTCTTGTTAGCAGTTTTTGGAGCAAGTTTGCTTTTTTGCATAATTGGGTTGTTGTTTTTTAACCTTTTTCCAATAAAAGGTATCCTTTTTGCACAATTGGGTTGTTGTTTTTAGTCTTTTTAATGCAAGTTTTATTTTTCTTGTTGGTTGTTGTTTGTAGCATTTTAATTTTCTTTTTTGCATAATTAGGTTTTTGTTTAAGCACTTTTTAAGTGCAAGTTTTGTATTTTTTTATAATTGGGTTTTGGGATCCTTGATTGGAGATTGTACTAGACTTGTTAACGCAGAAACGGGGTCTGGAAAAACAATAGCTTATTTGGCTCCTATCATTCATCACTTGCAGGATTACAGTCCCCGAGTTGAGCGCAATCAGGGTACTTTTGGTATGTGTTTTATGCTTTTAGTGGGATGTGTAGCTATGTTTATTCTTTTTGAAAGTTCAGAATTTTGTTTTTTGTTTCTATTGCTATGTATAATTTTATTGTCCAGTTATAGTGAACTGAAATTAGGCCTTAAGGGTTGAGGGAGGCCAGAGGGGGTTGTAATGGGAATCAGTCCTATCTAGATGTTTGTTATCTATGGCATATGTTTCTTCCATGTGCTTAAGGATGAATAAGTCAAACATTTCTGCTCTTTTTGTTTAATCACGAATAAATTTAAATTTGATATGTTTGTGATAGCGTTGGTCCTTGTACCAACGCGTGAGTTATGCATGCAGGTGTATGAGATTCTGCAGAAGTTATTGCATCGTTTCCATTGGATTGTCCCTGGTTATGTAATGGGTGGCGAAAACAGGAATAAAGAGAAAGCCAGGCTGCGAAAAGGTAAAATTTTTGTTTTTTTGGTGAAGTTCTCAATCACATAAAGCATGTAATTGCAGGATCCCACCAATTCAAGTTGGTAGACCTATGAAAGTGTGTCAAGTGTCAATATTTTGATTGGCTATATAAAACAATGTTTTTTTTTTTTTTTTGTTTAAAGGACAGCATTTATACCAATATAAAAGCATTAAACAAATTGATGAATATATTTTCTCGTGTATTGATACAGGTACTATGGTTTTCTTTGTGATAAATTACCAATGATCCTTTATTTGGTTTCGCTTCTTGCTGTTATGGCTTGCAGCTTATTTAAAGCTGGTTCAGTGATTCTAGTTATTGAATTGATTTTTATACATTTCCTGTTTTTAAATTATTGCTGCTTAGCTTCTTGAAAGAAAAATAAAGAAAACTTAAAAATCAGCTTCATACGTTACAATCATGCATTTGCAAGTTTGAGATTGAAGTATGTAATCTCCTTTATGATCAATATTGATGTATTTTCCTCTCTGAATTATGTTCACGAATGTTTCATATGATTCATTTCAGGCATTTCTATTCTTATTGCAACTCCTGGACGGCTGTTGGATCACTTAAAAAATACATCGTCTTTCACACACACAAATTTGCGTTGGATAATTTTTGATGAAGCAGACAGGTGTACTGTACTGTCTAAGGTTTCATTATGAGTGGATCTATCTGTTTCTGTTTCTTATAAATCTTAACTGCATCTGGCTGTGTATCTTGACAGAATTCTGGAATTAGGATTTGGCAAAGATATTGAAGAGATATTGGATCTTTTGGGTTCTAGGCCAAATGCATATGCTGAAAAAGGAAAATCCTCTGAATTTCCAAGACAGAATTTGCTATTATCAGCTACATTAAATGAAAAAGTAAATCATCTTGCCAAAATTAGTTTAGAAAATCCCATTATGATTGGTCTTGACAGCATGAAGGTGCAACCAGATTCATCAATTAACCAAACTGGACCTTTGGGATCTGATGTGGATGAGGACCTTGATAACTCAAGCAAGTTAGTAAGTTCTTCAAGTGGAGACTATAAGCTGCCAGCTCAGTTGGTTCAGAGATATGTCAAGGGTATACATTTACTGAAAGCTTTCTCTCTCTCTCTTGTTGTTGACCTTTCTGAGCTTGGTTCAAACCTTATGCAGTACCATGTGGTTCACGGCTCGCTGTACTTCTTTCCATACTAAAGCATCTTTTTGAGAGAGAAGCTTCCCAAAAGGTAAGGGCGTACTATAGTATTGGAATTTCTTGTTGTTTTCTGGAACATCTTTAGGATGTTCTTAACGACTTCAAATTGGAAGTGGAGGATATCAGTTCCCATGCATTTGTTCTCTGAGAAATACTTTGTTGAATCTGATGAGAAGGTTAATGTGTTATATTTATCTCATTCTAATTTGCTAGTATGAGCTGATTCACAGTGACCATGTAAAATGATTCCTGTTTGTTTAAGCATCTTGTTATTTTTTGTCATTTTACCCTTTTGTTTGTTAGTATGAATTATATGTGCAGCTCACATCAAGGGATTCTTTTTTATGGCTATAACAGATGTCAACAACAATGTTCTGCTTCATTTAATTTGTATTTTTCCAGAATAATTGCAAATAGAGATTGGAACTTTGGGTGATTACTGGCTATAATATTCATAGTATATAAAATTATTTGTGAGTTTACCTTGTTCAAACCTAAGGGATTCGTTCATTTCCTCTGTTGTCCCTTAGTTTGTTTACAGAAAGTTTTTGTAACATATATCTACTGTTCTATACTGGTTCAATTTCTTTACTCAATTAATCATTCTGCAGATTGTGCTATTCTTTTCAACATGTGATGCGGTAGATTTTCACTATACATTGTTGAGTGAATTCCAGTGGTCACCCTACTCACAATTTGAAGAAGAACTTAAGCAGATCTTTCTGAAGTGCAAAACTTTCCGGTTACATGGGAATATGAAGCAGGAAGACAGAAGAACCACCTTTAGTGCCTTTAAAACAGAAAAATCGGCTCTTCTTGTGTCTACAGATGTTGCTGCTAGGGGCCTAGATTTTCCAAAAGTTAGATGTATCGTACAGTATGATTCTCCAGGGGAGGCCACTGAATATGTGCATAGGTATTTAGGGACTTATTTCTCTTGGAAATATTTATCTGTTCCAGAGTTATCAATAATATCTACTTGGCAACTGTTTTTGGTGAATTCTGATAAACTTTGACTGGCACTTGCTTTCTGATGCACAATTGCCTAAACACAAATCTTTACTCACTGTTTGAACAGCTTCTAAGTGTTATGCCTTTTTTTTCAGAAAAAGAGGATTATAATGAGATTCTTGCTCTGGATGCTTGTGGTTGAACAGATTTCTCAGTGCTTATTTGTAAATGTCTGTTTTTTATTAGTTTAATTGTAAAAAACTCTGTACTAGATATTTTTGGTTATCTGTCTCATTGTGTTCTTTAATGAATGGTTTAACTTAGCATATGTAGTTCATTACTATGGAGCTAGCTTTTAAGCATGTCTAGTTCGAGCAGACAGAGCCCATATGTAAATTTCTTTTGAACTGATATATACGGTCCATCAGTGCTTGATCCTACATATTAATCTTTGATGCAGAGTAGGTAGGACTGCTCGACTGGGTGAAAGAGGAGAATCCTTACTATTTCTACAACCAATAGAAGTGGATTACTTGCAAGACCTTGAGAAACATGGTGTGTCACTGACAGAGTATCCACTCCTCAAAATATTAGATTCTTTCCCTTTGCATGGTCAAACACACCATGTCAAGAAGTATGTTTCATTAGAATCACATCCCTGGGTGGTATCTCTTCAGAAGGAGCTTGAATCATATGTTTTGGCTGAGGTATGACTTATGCATGTTGATCTTCTTTAGCCCTTACATTTTTGAACTTTTTCGCATCTTTTTTTCCATGACTTAGTCTCTAGTGTTATTGAATTTGTCTTCCTAACAACCTTTGAATTTGTTTGTTTTTGAAGAAAAATGTTTTTAGATCCACACTTCTTGTCTCCTTTGTGCCCATTTTGACTGCCTCTGCATACATGATTATTTGATTTTGCTCATTTTCCGTTTTAAACTGTGTTACAGTTTTTTTCTTTGATTTAGTATAGGGAAAGAAGGAAATGAAATGACTTCAATTGATTAGTTTTTCTTTTGCTGGCAAATTGAGAGGGATGTACACAGTTGTTTGAAAACAAAAGTATCTGGTCAAACACTTTGCTTCTCTGAAACAAAAAAGTGCATGTCAAGTTGGTTTACCTAAAGTATGGTGTTGAGTTCCAAATGGTATGCTATGAATGAAAGATGCTTTGAATTCAGATTCATATTTGGAAATTCGAACAAACTTTTCTGAAAGATGGTTCTTCATTAAGAACAATAGCATCCTGCACCACCATTTAGAAAGAGATTTTGAATCTATCCGTTATATCCATTCAGAAATGAAGATGCTCTTTTCATTCATAGCATATCATGCTATATTTCAGGACAAATAACTTAAAAAATTTCATGTCGGGATATATACATCATTTAGTTGACTAGGCTATCATGAGAGTAAGCTTGATTAGGTGATTCTAGCTTTCTGTTTTATTCATCTAGGTAAGTTTAAGCTAGTTTTGAACAAATAGCGAATGGTCTTGGAAAAATTTTCGGGTTGTGTTGGCCTAGCATGTGAGATATAGCCTTGTTTGATTAGACATGATGTTTGGTTTTTTCGTAGTGAAGTTCAGTGAATGAGGTATGTTTTAGTTGTTACTTGAGATATATCATTGCCTTTAACTTTTGAGGCGATTCTTTCTATTCCCTTCTCCTTAATTTCCATGTGTGGCAGACATAACAATATTTACCTTTTTAATGATTCTGAGATTTACTTATTGTGCTTCCAAATAAAGTTTTCCCTGGTGTACCATTTTGCAGCCAAAGATTAAGAAACTAGCAAAGGATGCGTTTTGCTCTTGGGTGCGCGCATACACAGCCCACCGTGGAGATCTGAAAGGAATTTTCATGGTGAAGAAACTTCATTTAGGGCATGTTGCAAAAAGTTTTGCATTGAAGGAGCAGCCATCATTGGTAGGAAAATCATTCCAAAATCAGTGGAAAAAGAGGAAGAGGGATCAGAAGCAGAAAGGGCTATTCAAAAAGAGGAAAGTTGCCCGTAAAACATGAATCTAAGATGAGAATTCAAAGCATCATAATTTGAGCACATTCCTGGTTTCTCACCTTCACACCATGTATGAAACTAATGAAGTGCTTGTATTATTATTTTTTAAACTATTATTCATATATTCACAGTCAACAACAACAAAAAACTAAGCTTTGTATCTCATAATTTTATAATGGAGTCGGTTGTATGAAAAGAAAAAAAAAATCATGTTAAGTTGTAGTTTTGAGACTTTTTATTCAATTCTCTCTAGTGTTCTCTTTTCTCCTTTTTTATGGGAGAAATTTAAGAAAATGCATAACTTATTTGTACAGTTTTGCCAAAATTTATAGGATTGACTCAAATTAGGACTATTTGGTCAATGTATGTGAAAATTTCCGGGGTTCATTTGATAATAGTAAATTATGTTGTGGCAAAAACAAAATCATCTAAACTAAAGGGGCTTTCATGCAATTATTAACATTAAAAACCGAAAAAGTTCCTCTGCTCTGAACACCCCCTTGAACTCCTCTTTTGTTTCTGTCGATATTGAAATGATATTTCATGGTTCAACTAAATAACGCAACCAACAAAAAAAAAAAAACCATAAAAATATAACAAATAAAAATGATAGAATCAATCAGTAGGCGGCGTTTAGATGCATTTATCTCCATATTCGTTACAGTGCACCCTCATGAGATCTCTGCTCTGCTCCTCTTCTTCCTGTTGCTTCTTTGTAAGTTATAATTACATAAAATTATGCCATAATTCAATTTAATTTTAATTAAATGTCATTTTTTATTCTGGGTCTTTTCTTTCCGGGTCTGTTTATTTTGGATAGTCACAGCATTTTTCCTCCTGAAATTTTCTGAAAGATGATTCAGTTTACTTTTCTTTGGGAATTGAAGATGCACAGATCAAGATCCTTCACATCTATCAAAATGTTTGAGAAGTAACACGTTCTGTGAGCAGCTTTGATGATGGCATTAGCAGAAGAGCAGTGCTTTTGCAGGCAGACTATGTAGTATGACTTGTTTGAAGTTTCTTGATATTCTCCTTTTGTTGAGGTAAGAAGGTTCTTCCACACTGTTTAAATACCGTATGGTGGTGTCAGCCCGTCCCATAGTCGGCTTTCAAGTTTTAGACAGTTTGGCATCTTCATTTGCAGTAAGAGGTTGCTGGTTTTGTGTACCATGCTGCTTTTCCTTGGGTGCAGTGGCTTTCCTTCATTCACCCATAACTTTCTTTCCTAGTTTTAGCAAAATGTTAAGACTAGTAGTTTGGTTGAGATTGTCTACAAGAGGTTTACATATATTGTACAGTGTTCTTCAGTTCTAGTGCATTTGAAATGCAATTGTTGAGAGCCAGTTGGATGAAGTTATCTTTAAATTCCCGACGGGAATCCTGAAACTAGCAATTCCATTTCAAGTTTCAAAGCGTTGAAAAGCTGATGGCATGACAGCTTCCCATCTGAAAGCGCAGCTACCAGTATACTTTTCCATTGTGAAGAGCCAGAATTATGCTAGCTTTTGCTCAGGCACTGTAAAAATAGCAGATATTAGCCTTTCAACTCAAGTTGCAAAGAATTGCATTTGTCAGGAATAGTTTCTATTATTGTTTAGATTTTTCTGTCTTCAATTATTTGACAGAAAATTGGACCATCATCTCTTTTTCAATGAAAAAAAAAAGTATGATTGACTGGATGATCAGAATTGCCAGATGCTTACTGGCTATAGCCCATCTCCATTGATGACAATCTATTGATGACTTATATACTATGCACTATAACAAACAAGTAATCAAGGGCAATCTGATCCAAGTTCTGTAGAGTTCCATATACAAACTTCTAAATTGAGCTCTCCAGAAGGACCCAGGAATCGAAAAGGGATTAGAAGAAAGTCCATAGGAGGAAAACCTTCAACTCGCCCTGGAAAATTCTCAGTCAATGATTTTAGTCTAAGACAGCTAATTCCTTTTCCTGATACAATATCATACAAGAAGTTTTCCTTTGATGAGCTTGGAGCAATGCAAGTTATCATCACTACATTCCCGATGCTTTCAACACCCTTGTTGAGGATAAACAGAACACCATCCTCTTCAGCTTGGAGAACAAGATAGTGTTCATTCATCCCCAATGAGACAGGCAATGGGATGTTGTACCTGAAACGCCTTCCAGAATCCCAATGTTTGCTACTGAAGTGTAGTGACAATTGTTCAGATGAGCCAACAAATTTGCAATTTGGAAGTGGGCATACACATGGCGCATAAATGCAATTCTCTTCACGATCATTGTTCCTCATGTAATCCACAATTTCATTACATCCATATTCTTTGTTACGGCATGCTGTTCTATCCGGTTCAACAATCATCTCCATGTCTCTACACACCATGCCCTTACTCTTTGGAAAATTTGTCACATTTACCTGCAGAAACATGCCAACAGGTATTCAGGTATAACATGATAAAGAAAAAGTTCCAAACATGTCCAAATGGTCATAGTTTTATGAAACTGGATAGCTCATAACTTCATTTGATAGAAGGTTTCTGTTTATTAAAAGTAAATTTTATTACCTTTTAGATATAAATGGACCATTTGAACAAGTTTAACTTTTGCTGGAAGACTAAAATTGACCCGATGCTTCCACTTTTATCATATCCACCACTTGTAAGGACACGAAATCATTTTACCATTTTCGATGAGAGAGAGAGAGAGAGAGAGAGAGAGAAGCAAACTTATTGTCATCATGAATGCTATGCCATTTTAGAATTTTATAAATTTTGATAGCAGGATATTTTCGAGGCATGCCGTGGGACTACAAAATCAATGATGAACAAAGAATACCAAAAGCAGCAAAGGTTAATCAGCTAAGAAATCAAGGAATCAACAAAGTGCAGCAGCTTTGTAGGAAGAACTATTACCTCCTCCATGCTAAAATCTCTGTCCATTTGTTCTTCATCAGCCTACAAACAGACAAGCAGAAAGAAGCTTTGCGAGACAAGAATAATTTACTCATAAATAGATTAGACCTTTCATCTCAATGCATGCTAAGCATCACATTTAAGTCCTCGATTACTTCAAGTGTTTACTTATGCTAAGAATTGCTTTAAGCCAGTTGTCTTAGCTAATTGAGGGGCTTGCAGACAAACTATCCAAGATTCTATTACAAAGGTCATCTCACCATAAGCCAAGCTTGAGAAAGGTCCAAGCTTTAGCTTCAAGAGGCTAACAAACAAGAGAATCTGTAATCTCATGACATCTTTGAAGATGTGTTTGAAAAATTCCCTTTTACCATAGATTCTTGAGACTCATGCTGTTTGTAACCAGTCAAAAACAGAGATCATGAAGGGTTCAAAAATACATTTTACAGCTAAAGCCACACAAGGAAATCACAAGAAAATATCTATTAGTTGAAATTTCCATTTGTGGTGGAGTACAATATGAGTTGCCCATGCAGACCTGGAAACTAGAAACTTGAATAGGAACTATAAAAAATTCCTTAATACAATAAAATAGAAAGCTGAATTTTTTTAGTTTCAAAACAGCATGAACAATGATTTCACCAGAAGTTGTAAAATGAATAAAGACTTAGCAAATCTTAAAATAACTCATCTATTTGCAAATATTTCCAAGACTTCAAACCTAAGAACTTTGCAAGCTAAAAACAGATAGCCGATGGTTATATGACCATATAAAGTATAACATATGTATAACCTCATAAAGTTCATGATAAAGGAGCCCATCATTATAAAATAACATATAACATAAAGCAAAGGGCTTATGATACAGTTTGATATCTATCACCATATTTTTCCATTTGTTTTTCATTAAGCATAATTCACAGTGTTATCCAATTAGAATTAACTCATATCGCATCCTAATTATATGCAAAGGCTACTTTTCTAACAGAAACTTGGCGAAAGTTTTTAAAATTATTTATGAAACTTATAAGTCACATTAAATAATCAAAGCATAATACCTGGGTCCCCTCCTGCTCAAAGATGTGATTGTGCTCAACTCCAGTGCTCATTTTGCCCCCAGATAGGACTTCCACTTGGACTCTATATTCTAGAGATTCCAGACAACCCTCCTTGCTAATCACCTGCAGAGCAGGACACCTGATTAGTTCATAGAGATTGCATGTATCATGCATAGTGAATGTAATTATACCTCTCCACACCCATAACCACCAAGTTCTCTTTCTCGCTTTTCTCTTTCAGTGATCTCTTCCTCCCCCCATGAAGATAGGCATGGAACAACAACTGGTGCAGAAGACCCAGCTCCCTCGATTGAGATGCTCTCATAATAGAACAGCTGAGAAGCAATAGAAATTTAGTGATAATTTTGGATTAATCTGTAAAAAACTAAAGCCAAAGCATTTATGTATCAACCTGGAGAAAAAGAAGGCATCCACCAACTGCACGCTGCTTCCCTTGGCGAAAGCGAGATACCTCCCGAACTAACCGGTCAAGCAAGAACTTTCCCCAATTATACTGATGCACAACATCCATATTAATTAAAAAGTGGAGGAATGATGGGCTAACATCCAGTCTTGCTGTCGGAGATAAAAGTGTACCCAATGTGTAAAGGATAAATGATCTCTTAAAATCCTCTCCTGCTTCTGGAGCTGCCAACCGTTCCTCTAGAAGTCGCACTGAAATCCCACGGTTAGTGGCATTATAACTGTGACGCAAGTCAGCAATCAAGTCATCAGGCCCTGAATTCACCACATCCTTCCCAGAAGCTGCTAGTCCCATCACACGCTCTACATCTCTTGGGGATAAAGGAATGCGCTCCCCACATATCTCCAAGCTGCGCCGTGCAGTGTTAAACCTCTCCAACAACCAAAGACACAAACTGCGGCGTAGAGTGCGACATCTCAAGCCAAGTAAACTACCAAATCCCATGCTCTTCACTGCAGCCTTTTGCTCAGATGTGAGGCGCTGTAGCACATTGAATAAGCGGCCAGGAGAGCATCTCGTGACTAGTTTAGTCTGCATTACATAATCATAAGATTTGTTGGATGGTAAGACAAAACATAAGTCACAAAAAGTAAAAGCCACCTGCTTCCGGGGCTTAGGGATACGGGCAGGAGCTGTGCTCAAGTAATCATCCCACACTTCACGAGCATGCCGAGTATATTTTGCTTTCTCCTCAATGCTCATTAACTTCCAAGCATCTGATGCAGCCTTTGTAGCCTAGCAGTAGAAAATAAAAAGCAAAAAAGAACAATTAAATCTAAGGATTTAAATGGTCGCAGTCACGTTTTTTGTTGCGTTATGTTTATAACGGTCATGGACATAACGGATAAGATAGCGCTCATTGCACTCATCGCACTCATCGCAGTCGTAAATTTTTTTATTTTTTGCACAACTCACCAAAAATGAAGTACAAATATTTTTATTCATGAAAACTTTTATTTGATGATATTTAAAATAGTTTATAATATTTTAATTCCTTTACTTATATGACAAAATAAATTATTAATTACCTAAATTGGTAATATGCATATTTAAAAGTGTTCAATATGCATATTTATAAATTTTATGAAGATGACTTTTATAAATACATAAGATTACCAAAATAGTATCATATATGAAATTAACTTTTTTTCCAAGTACACAAAATTAAGCTCATTTATTTTAATTTGAATAGAAAAATAACAGCGGAAAGTTTCAATATTTGAAGTAAAAAAAAGTAAAAAAATACTTGACAATCTAACTTAAATCAAACACCAAAAATATAAAATAATTAAAAATAACTAAAGTAATATCAAATTTTAATCATTTAAGATTAATTTGTTAAATGATACTAATACATATACTAAAAACTCATGAAAATAAAATTCATTATTTATCATATCTAGTTCCTTTTTAAATCATCCAAAAAGAAAAACTCAAGTTTTCATTTCTCAAAAATCATTTGACTTCCATTTCCCAAATTTTCATCTAAAAAAGAGAAAATAAAAAACTAATTTTAACCCACAAGTGACAGCCTCCCAAATTTCCTCCATTCTCGTAAATTTCCTTCCATGAACTTATAAAATATTAATTAATTAACAATCCAATTACCTCTTAAATTTTCATCTAAATTATCAAAAAATTTATTAAAATCACCCATCATTTATCTTCCCTTCACCTCTTAAATTTTCAACTAAACAACAAAAAACAACAAGGCACATGACACGGCCCTTCTTCCCTCTCTACTTCTCTGCTTGCCTCTAGCTTTGTCGACTTTTCTTCCCATCTCACAGTCGACTTTTCTTACCATATCACAGCAGAGCCACCATGACTCAACCTAACCCAACTACACCACCCTCATGCCTCACACAAATCCTCACAGTCTCTCCCTCAAAGATTTGAGATTATAAAGTCTCAGCTCGCTCATAAGTCAAGATTGGAAATGGCAACACAACTTGAAGCCAACACCCATGGAAGCCATAAGAGAGCTCTCTGCTCTCTCTTCACTCCATCCACAAATCAAATGTGAAGAAGCACAGTAATTTTTAGTGAATATATGTTTCTTATCTGGAATAAATTCTATCATTCAATTCTGATTAAGACTTACATCTGTTCAATTTTGATTTAATTGACTGGATTTTGAATGAATTTTTCTTTGTTTTGGTATGGAATTTTCTTTTGATTTCATAAACATCCAAATGCCCCGTTACAGTCGTTATTTTCCACTACACCGCTAATTGCGACCGTCAAGAGCCGCTAAACATGCGAATCACAATTCTCACCTCCATTGCGGTAAATAGTGGTGGTGAAAGGCGCCACTACCGCTAACTAGCATCCGCTTTATTTAAAACCATGATTAAATCTACTTATCATTGTCACAAATCATTACATAAAAACAAAGGCATTGTCTACTGATTAAAGGAGAACAAAAATACTCACAGCTTTAAGGCCTGAGGATTCAGGATGAGAAGCACTATAATCCTTGATAAACTCCCGGCTAAAACATTCAAATTTACATGTTAGTACATTCCCAATAAGCAGAAAACAAAAAATGTTTTAGGAAAATTTTGCATTGAAATGCACCAAATTCTACCTAAAATATACCCAAGAACACGCGGGACGAGGAGCAGAAACTTTCTGCTTCTTTTTCTTCTTTTTCCTCTTCCCTTCTGACGCAACATTCTCTTCATCATTAACACTTACCATTGATGCATCTCCCTCATTTGGGGCCTAAAAAAAAGTTTGCGTTCAAAGGAAATTGTAGCAAATAAACCCCAAAAGGACAAAAAAAAAAAAAAAAAAAGCTATACAAATTTGTTCTTTTAATCAATATAAATGAAAACCCATTTGTATAATCAAAAACCCAAATCAAAATTTAAAGGCTTTTTCAGAAACAAGTAATAATCCTTCAATTATTCACCTAAAAAATATAAACTTTAAAGAGAAAATGATAAAAGCCAACCTGAAATACTGGGATGATAGAACAATCCACAACTTTTGGATCAGTTACGCTCATGGTTTTGAACCCTTTGCACCTCCACTTTCCTCTTATTCTTCTTCACCTTTGTCCTCCTTTGTAAGAATTTCTAATGAACAAAGTTTGTAACTTTTCTTCTCTCCTTAATAAATCCTAACACTTCCCTTCAACTTTCATTTACAATATATATTTTTTTGGCTTTTGCATCTGAAATAAAATAGTAAAGAGCCAACGACTGCATGGTCGGTAGCACTGTTGTATTTTTTTTTTTCAATAATCAGTGTTTAAATTATGATAATTTTATTAGTTTATTACCTAATAAAATTTATTTATTAATTAATTTATTAGATAATAATAAAATTTATTTTATATTAAAATAACAAAATTACCATATTTATTTTAGATAATAAAAAAAGGATGTACATTAATTTTTTTCTTTATATTTTATAAGTTGCCATATTTAAACACATTTTAATATCATTAATTAAAAATATTGTTTATATTTATAATTAAATGCTATTAATAGCAATATCATTGAATATTTTATTTATTTTCTTGCTTTTACAATTTTAGAAAACAATTTTTATTGTCGTTTATCAAATACATTTTTTAAAAAACAAAAAATAAAAACTATTTTCTAAAAAATATAAATAAAAAATAAAATCTGAAAACATTTTCTTAAAACTTTCTCATTTAATTCAATCTAATGGCTCCAAAACTTTACTACCTATATAAAGGGTTCTCCCAACATCATTTCACCATATCTATACCTAGAAACATCAATTACAATAGCCATCTTCAAGCATTCAAGTGTTTAAAAGCTTAAAGTCTTCCATCTTCAATTCAAATGTTTGATTTTCTATCCTTTCTCTTTTAATTATCAAAGTTATTTATTTATGTTTTTATTTTTTTATATATAAATCTTGTGCTTTAATTTCATATATAACTACTAATATTATTTTATACATTGAATTTATTTGTTTATTTCTTTATATTGAATTTTGTATTTGTTTAAATATAGCTTACCAATGGCAACATCACCTCATCATACTCCTATTGATTTTTCTTTCAATGAAACCATGGAATCACAATATGAAAATAGTAATGTTCCTTTATATCAAAATTCAATAAAAAAATTTATACCAAATAAATTTTATTAAAATTTATATTTAAATTTAATCGATGATACGATTAGCTCAATCTCATCACACTAAAAGTGTAATAAAATCCAAACCTACCTTTGAACATAAGAGTAAACGTGATGAAAAGGACACCTCTAGTGATGGCACACAAACTACTCTTTCCCGTAATTTTGGGTCAAGCTTAGGTATTTTTTGTTACTCCATTAATGCATGTAGGGTGGAATTAGCCAAATATAGAATAGGTGCCCAACAACCTTTTTTAATAGGGGGAAGATAGAAGATTTACCAATTTTGTTCATAAAACTTTAAATCCTCAATATAAAAGTTTTTCAAGAAAATACTATTAAATCGGATGCCTCTAAAATTATTTTCAATTACAAGGAAAATTTAGTTTTGATTTTATCTAATCTTGTTTGTGAAGTATCACTTACAAATGACATTTGGCCAACTAATGAAGGAAATGGATACTTATGTGTGACGGGATATTGGATTAATAATGACTAGAATTTACCAAAAAAGAATTTTAAGTTTTAAAAGCATTGATTAGCCACATAATGGAAATGCTATTTAAAATGTAATTTTTCAAACAATAAACATGTAGGATCTTCAAAATAGAATTCTTTCTATATCCTTTGATAATGATAGCAATAATATTATAGTAATTCATTATTTGAAAATGACATTAAAACCAATTTTAAATGATAATATTCTTCATATTCATTTCATGTCGTATTTTAAATTTATGTATTAAAAAATGTTTGAAATTAATTGAGTCTCGTATTGAAAAAAATTAAATATTACTTTAAATTTATTAACGATTCCAGTTCAAAAAGTAAAAAATTTAAAAATTTATGTGTGTCACATGGAAAAAATTTTATAAAATTCCTCTACATGTTATTCATAGGTGGAATTCGACCTATTTGGTATTAAAAACTTCTTTACCTTACAATGATATTATTACAATGTTTTCTATTCATGAAAATATTTATGAAAAATTGTCCTTTAATAATAACAGGTTGGGATGTTGCCAATAACGTTACTAACTTTTTGGAATAATTTTTTGAATCTACCAAAAAATTTTTCGGGTGTTTACTAACTAACTTCTTCTATTTTTCTAAACAATATATATGAAATTAGTGTTTGTTTTGCAAAATATAGAAAATATGAGATTTTCAAAAATGTTTGTGAGCTTATGGAAATAAAATTTTAAAAATATTGGAAAAATATTCCATTTTAAAATTGTTTAGCTGCGATTGTGGATTCTAGACTAAAATTACATGGTGTAGAAATTATATTTGAATCTTATTATTCTAATATGCAAATTGACATTAACATGAATAAGGTAAGAAAATCTATTAAAAAAAAGTTGTATCATTGAAAAAATATAATAATTAATGATATCATCAAAAGAAAAATTTGTAAAATTTATTATTTTTTAGTTAATTAATTTTTGTAAAATTTATTTATTTACAGTGAAAAGCTTTCTCTTGTCCCATGGATGCAAGCATTTCAAGTCGAAGTACGTAAATCATGTTTCCTATTTTTTCATAATGTCACTAAAATAAAAAATATATAAGAAAAAACTCACAAAATCTTTAAAAAAGTTAACGTAAAAAACATTTTTAAAAATCGATGTAATGGCTCATGGGCTAGTTCTGCAAAACCCATATCGTTATTGGCTCATGAACCGTATTGGGCCAAATAATTTTTTTTTTAATAAAAATCGTGCATGGTATGATCCATATTTTTTTTTATGTTCAATCAATCCTGCTCATTAAAATGCCGTGTCGAACATAAGACTGTGTCATATCAACTCATTTGGCTCATTTTGCCACTTCTAACTGCACTCACCATGAGTATGATACATTCTATACTGGTTTAAATTTTTTTTTTTGCATTATTTTAAATTTAATTTTTTTTCAATTCCAATTAATTTAATTCAATTTTAGATTTTATATAAAATGTAATATTTTAACATGCATTTTACGTCACAGAGGTTTTTTTTTTTTAATTTAAACTTTTTGAATTGAAATTATTTAAAATTTTTATCTTTTAATCAAATTTGATTCAAATTGGAATTATTTTAAATGAATTTTCAAGTTCAAATTTATTATGTCACATCTTATTACAAGGTATTTAATTTCAATCAGACAATTTGAGTATTCCTTTAGAAAAATAGTTAAAATTAAATAAAAAAATCAATGATCAGATGTAGTTTTAACCCCATTCGGCATAATAGGTCCAAATTTCATTGACGCCTGGTGAAGTCCTTTAACTTTTATTTACGTCCATGGCTAAGTTCCCAACAAATATTGACTTTCCCTATAGGCTCTTTAATTGTTGTTGAAGCAGATTTCCTCACCCGGATGCCTTGCATTATTCTCATTCAATGCATTCACAATGGTTAGAGAAGTTATTTTTGCGTCGAGCAGTAGCATGTTTCTCAATTTCTTGAACAGCCTTGTTATGGCAATATCAACCGGGCACAGGATCTTGGCTCCGAACAGCAGTCGAATGACTCGAATCCTTTAGAAATTCTTGAACAGCCTCGTTAGAAGCAATATAAGTTGGCACAGGATCTCGACTTAGATTAGGATGAGTGAAGCTGCTCACCTTGCCAAGCCCAAACGAACAATATCTTTGAGAGCTGATCTAACATCCTGTTTCAGCATCTTCGTCATCTCTACTAAATGGAAACATGGGATAAACTCAAATCTGCATCAATAGCCAATGCGGCTTTTCTATCTCCATTTCATCCCATTTTCATCAGCCCTCCTACCTTCTCAACTTTTAACTTCAAATTCTGAGCAATGTCCTCTGGTTTAGATGTGATGGCAGATGCATTATGCATGAAAGTGAATTGTACTTCCTTCTTTTCATCATTTTCTGCAAATAATCCCGACAAATGGAAAATGGAACCCACTTGATAAGGAATGATATCCAAGGCATTCAAATTAGTGAGCTTAGCCATGTTTTTCTTTGCTTCAAATGCAGTGTTGTTTAGTCTCAGAACCAAAAACAACGGCATCAATGTCAACAGGAGCCAATTCCATTTCAGCTTTTCTCTGAACAAGTTTGGAGTTAAATCCGTTTTTGAACCAAGGATTTGACATTATTTTTGCAATTGAAATTCTAGCTTTGGGGTTAGGATTGAGGATTCTTGAAAGCAGCTTGCTCACTTCAGGTGAAAACCAATCAGGAAATTTGATGTCTGCCGGCCTTGCTCATTTTCCTGTACATTGCTATTACATTTGAATCGTGAAATGGCAGACAACCGTCCGGTAGAACATAGAGGATCACCCCACAAGATCAAATGTCAGCTGTGGGTCCATCATAACCCTTTCTGTTTATAACTTCAGAAGCCACAAATGCAAGGGTTCCACAAGTTGTGTGGAGAAACCTATCTTGATGCTTAGACTCAGCAAGGGCAGTTCCATTTTCATTCAGGACTAAGTTTTCTGGCTTCAAATCCCGATGATAAACACCTCTGCTGTGGCAAAAATCAGGATTGAGTATTATCTCCTACAGTAATTATATATAGGATACTCTAAACAGCACGAGTGTCTATAACAGAACTCAACCGTCTTCGACCAGGTCATGTGTCAACATGACAAATTTTTATTAAAGTAACCTTCAAATCTTCTGCTTTTGTTTCAACGAAAATAATGCTTAATATAAAAGGAAAAGAAACAACTTGATCTCAAATTCATTTAAGAAGGAAAACAAAAGGTCACCCTAAAAGGGGAGTGGGGAAAACAAAAGAAAGGATTTGAGAAATGGCAATTCTTTTTTTCTTTTCATAAACCAAACCTCTTTCTTTTTCTTGTTTTAAATGAGCTCAAGCCATTAACTCTACATTTAACTTGTCCAAGTATTACAATGAAACAAAATCAGCCACAAGCAGCAGTGTTGGTTTCTTCCGATAATTTGAGTTTAAATCCTGACAGCCTAAAAAATGAGAAAAAAAAAAAAAAAAAAAAACCAAAACCAAAACCAAAGGCTAACGCTTGTCAGATGGTAGAAAGAAACTTCCAAAAACTAATTGTAGATTCTCAGTTCATTTTGAAATGAATAGCTTGAATGCCCAGCCAAGTATGGCTTAACAAATTGAATCGAAGCTAGAATAAGAATGGCAAGGGACAGTGAAGGGAGAGGAGACAGCAAGGCAGAACCCTGTGCAGTAAGGAGTGAATGTCAAATTTTATCTTCACTCCTAGACTTGAGGACTGGAAGCTGTCAACAAAATTTTATTACTCTATTATGTTTCTCCACCATGGAACAAATGAAGAATCAAGGGCTGGGAAAAAGAACCTAAAGAGACATTAAACTCTTTTCAGTAGGAAATTAGTTAATCCCGTATCACTTTTAGTATCTGATTGCTTTAGCAACCTCAAAGAAATGGGCAACATTTTCCTCAGGTGTACCTACTTTAATCCCATGACCTAGATTCAATATATGTTTTCCTTTACCAGCTTTTCTCACGGTGTCATGTATCCGATTGGTGATGAACTCCTTTGAACCAAAAAGAACACCGGGATCAACATTTCCCTGGATGGCAATATCATGTCCAAGTCGCCTTCTACCTTCAGCCATGTCAACTGTCCAATCTAAGCTAACTACATCCACACCTGTTAAAGCTAGCCTTTCTACCAAGCCCCCAGATCCACTTGCATAAAGGATTAAAGGAAGATTTGGATGAGTTTGTTTTACCGCATCTACAATTTGCTTCAAATAGTGCAGGCTGAACTCCTCAAAATCCACTGGACTGAGCTCTGTTGCCCAAGAGTCAAAAATTTGAACAGCTTGAGCTCCATTGTCAGCTTGGTACTGAATGTACTTGGCCATGGAGGTTGCAAATTTCTGAAGCAAAGAATGAAGTACCTGTAGGCGGAAAATGAGGTCAATAGGAATCCAGTTGATAATATTTTTCACAAACAAAGGTAGTTGACACGTGTTTTGAGAAACAGATAAAAGATAAGAAAAAGGAAAAGCAATTCATTTCTAGCAATTAACTTTGTAAGTACAGACAGAACACTTTTATGTCAGTAGCTTGAAGTTTGTTGTTTCAGTTATGGACGCTAATTAAGACAAGGACCAGAAAAAAAGGGAAAAAAAAACAATGAAGACAAACGTCACTCCAGTTGCTCTTAGATGCTAGAGAAAGAGAACTAAAACTACCTTTGGTTGAGAGAAGGCTAATCTTTTTATTTTGGTGAAGTGCTTTGATGAGCCACCTTCAACTACATATGATGCTAGAGTGAATGGAGCACCAACAAAACCCAGAACTGCAGCTTTGTTGTCTACCTGGCAAACGAAAGAGAAGGGATGAGTCTACACCGGCCTTTAAATTCACTGAATCACAAGTAACATTAAATAGGCGGGGCATTGTCAATGATTCCTTGAGTTCTCAAAGAATCAAACAACATCCGCAAATAATATGACAGTTCAAAATAAAAGTAAAAGTTACACAATTGCATACATCAGACCATAGAGGGGTGATGCAAGGCATTAAGAAGGGCTTAGGGAATGTTTATTTTGAATTCAAAAGTAGGTATCATTGAGGCAAAAATCTACTGCAGAGAGGCCCAATGACTAACTTTTCCGTTAAGGAACATCACGTTTAGCCTTCTCTAATTTAATTAACATTGGTTGTTTAACTCCATTATATTTGTTTATTGTTCCTGCCTAAGAACATTCCAAATGCACAACCAATTGTATGTGGAAAATACAACTTCATACAAATGGCCAGACGTGGATGATTAGTTACGTAAAAATGAATTGAAAATAAGGGGAGAAATAAGAAATTCAACTTAGGATGCTACAGGAAATGTCAATACAAACCTCTCTCTGCAAGATTGTCAATGCTTTGCCGACATATGGCACAGACTGCTCAGGATAGAATTCTCTCACTTGATCAACATCAGCAGCAGTGGCTAGAGGGTCGAAGATAACCGGACCTTTACCTTTCACAATGTCAAAAGGAATGTTCATCCCAGAGAGAGGAGTAAGAATATCAGAGAATAAAATGACCTGTCATAATACACGATGATTCAAAAAGATATTAACTTGCAATCTGCAAAGAGCAACAAGACTATGATAAGAAGAGTGAGGAGGTTCGGTTTTCTTGACAAAAGAATGTAAAAGTCAACTGAAGCTTCTTGATATCCAAAATGTGGAAGAATGGGGTTTTAACCAAGAATAAGAAAACAGCAATATATAGAACAGAACCTTATATCATAAATGCTTATTCAAGAAAAATTATCAGAAGGATTACAAAATAAATTTCTTACCCCATCAGGCTTGAAAACATTCCATGGCTGCAGTGAAATCTCAACAACAAGATCAACATTTTCTGATCTTTCACGAAATGAAGGATATCTTTCACAGATAATTTGGTAGCTCTACACTATGAAAAACTCAAAGTAAGGCATAATTGAAAAGAAGATGCAACATGAAACCAAACAGCAATGACCTCCTCTCTTTATAAGAAATAAAAAAAGTCATATAAAAGATGGCATCAAAGCATAAGATTTGCAAAAATGCCTGCAAAACTAGCATTTCAAATTGCAACACAAACAATAAAACAACAATGTTGGAAAATATCTACTTTTCATTTCTGATTACTCTCACGGAAGCATAAAAAGAAGGGTCTTCTGATAACTTACTAAAACCTGGCAGGTTCTAAGTTGTTAGCCTTTTTAGGAAGTTTTCTTCCAAATCATCAGGTGTTCTACTCTCTCCATTCTTTTCTTTCATTTTTATTTTTTAATGATTAAAACTTGAAAGGTGGAGCCTCCTTATAAAATAACACTGTGGCTAGGGATTACATTAAAGTTTGTCCACCATACAATCCTCATTATCATATAGCCTACTGTGATCCTTCTCTTAGATTATCAAAGAAAATATTAAATAATTGATAAATCCATTTTTTTCCAAAAGGGTTTGATACCAGAAACATGAAGCAAACATTTAGAAGTGACAATTCTTTTTTGCCAATAGAAAAAAAAATTGAGTAATGCAATCCCCAAAGTAAATGTAGCACATGAAAAAAAATTATTTTCTTTTGAAACCACGGAGATTTAAAAACCTGCCTTCATATACCTCCCTGCTTGCCTCATTAGCCAAACTGGTGGTCTTTCAACATCTTGCCCTCGAACAGCACTGAGCAACAAGGGTTCAGCAGCCACTGCAGCTTTTGGTTCTACTCCACTCCCTATGATAATGTTCAAGATAAACCTTATAAATCAAAAGTTATCAGAAAAAAAGTAGATATGGTTCAATAATGAAATCAGGCCTGATAAAAGACAATAATTGAAGAATAAGAAAGGTAGAGAATCATAAGTACATATGATTTTGTAAAAAGGAACATGCTATGCTCACATACAAGTAGATGCAAAAGTAAGGAAGCTATCAGGATATGTCAAGCTGAAATTAGACAAAAAGAAGGTAATTTCAACCAGACCAATGCTATTCACACTTTCTCAATCAATTATTAACATCAGACATGCCACAATAGCACAGAATTGTGTGATTATGATCATGCATTAGTAATGAGCATGCTACTCAAATTTTGTTATATAACAAGTAAAAATCAATAAATTGAAAATGATGACAGACATGAACAAAGAACATAGAAGAAAATTCTTTCCTGCTTTTTTCTTTAATTTTCCCCAAGAAAAATACAAAAACAAAAGAAGTCTCAATGCCTTTCTATGCTATGGTTGTTCTCATTTGCAAGAGGGTCATTGTCCTGTAATAGTGTCATGGACCCATAAAGCATAGCTAATGGTGATTTCAACATATTCCTAGTTCTGCCCTTCAGCATTCTTACTCAAAATAACCATTCCCAATGCTTCAGCTAAAACTTATACATTATCAACTAATCACCACGACATCTGACAGTGGCTTCTATCAAATGAGCTTCATTCACTAAAATCATAATTGCATGTCAATTAGATCCCACAAACCCATAACTAAAAACATATTAAATAACACAATTCAGCTTAGACAGCGAAGTTCAGGCTTAGGCTCCTAATTTTCTAAGATTCCAAAATTTTGACTTGGTCCCTTGCCATTCCGACAACAGAAAGAAAAAACAAACCAGAAAACATCAAACGATAAAGTAATAAATAATCTTAACATTGGAACCAAAAATTGAAAATGAAAAAAAAAAACAAAAAGAATACCCTCAAGAGAACAGTGGATGAATCTGGGCTTGTAATTGGACAAAGATGTTATTTTTGGAGGGACAAAGAAAGTAGTAAAAGAAGAAACTGAAATACAACACATTGTTTTTGGGTTTCAATTGGAACTGTCTGAAAAGTTTCAGTCTTTGAGTTTGTTTTTGAAGCTGGCATCAATTAAGAGCTTGCTCCATTCCTGCCGGGTCCTCGACGGGGTTAAGATAGAAAGGAAGATAAGGAAAATCGAAAAATTGTAATCTTAACAGATGTCCCAAAAGTTGTCCTGTCGATTTTTGCCACCTCAGCTTTACTTTGGTAATGGTTGCCAATACCACGAGCGCTTTTTTTTATTCTTTTACCGGCTTATTTACTTGGTTTTTTTTTTTTCTTTTTTTCTTTTTTCATTTTACACAAACACTTATTAAAAAAAAAAAAAAAACCCAACTATCAATCCCTGAATCTGTCAAAGCAACTTCTGAGTTCTGAGTTCTGAGTTCTGTCCTTTGGCATTTTCAGACAACTGCGAAGCTCAAGTCTTTTGTTCAAACAATCCTTAAAAACAAACCAAGGCCCTGCCAGAAGACCTTTCCTACAAAAATGAAACGTAAGAAGTGGTCAGAGCTTGAAGAACAAACCCTTTTGTCCAAATACTCCGATCTTTTCAATTCAGGAACTTTATCCAAACTCAAAACCAGAGAGAAAAAGTTCAAGCCCATAGCTAACCATGTTAACTCAGTTCATCATCATAAAGATCCCATTACTTTTCCTTTCGAATGGTCTTGGCGTGATGTATCTATTAAGGTTCAAAACATGAGGCACCAGTATTTGGGGGTGAAGCAGAAGATTAGAATTTCAAATGATGAGTTTAATTGGAAAGATGGTGAGAATCATTGGGAAAATTTTTTGAAGTATAAAGAGGTTTTTGGTGACGTGGAACTTGAAGTTAAAGGGAAGAAAGCAAGTGAAAGTAATGGTAATGGGAGTGATTTCTTTAAGGATTGTTGTGACTTGGGGTTCGAAATTGATAGTGAGGATTTTGAGGAGGAAGAGGAAGAAGATGGTGTTGATGGGGATGGGGAAGGAGATGATGGTGGTGAGGAGAAGGTAGGGAGTGAGGGTGAGTTTGGAGGAGAGAGGGAATTTGGTGATATTGGTACTTCTCGTGTTCAAAAATCGAGGAAGGGTGTAGGAGGAAGTAAGGGGTTTGGATTGCTTGGAACAAAGGTTTTGGAGTTGAGAGATGTGGTGGTGAGGAGGGAAGAGAAAAGGAGGGAAAGAGAGTTTGTAAGAGAGAAAGATGAGATGGAGAGGGAGCAAAAGAGGAGGGAATTGGAGTTTGGGAAGGAAAAGCGGTGGAGTGAGAGGGAGGAGAGGATGGAGGATTGGGAAATGGAGTTCGAGGAAAGGGAGTTGGTTTGGGCTAGGAGGGAGAGTGACAGAAGATCGAGGTTAGAGAAGGAATTGGATGAGGAGAGGAGGAGGAGGAGGAGAATGGAGGAGGAGCGCCAAGAGGAGGAGATGGAAATGAAGGAAAGGATGGTGGGATTGCAGATTGAACATGAAAAAGCAATGATGCAAATGCATATGGAGGCATGCCAGAACCAAATGCAGATCCTTGGGGTTATGGCTAGGCTCTTTTGTCAGTTTTATGGTTCAGCAAATGATGGGTTAGCAGCTGGTTTGGGGGGTTTGCCTCCTCAAGTTTTACAAAATTTGCAGCATCCTGGAGGATTAGGTGACAATGGGAAGCCTGATTCCAGTTCTCCTTCTGAATTCATCTAGACTATAATTCAATCACTTCTGTGGATGGTAATGTTGCTGGAGCCCAAATAAAAGTTTGTATGTTTGTACGATAGCTTTGGAATGTCATATTCTTTTCCTCTTCTAATGTTTCAATTAATAATCTTTTTGACATTTTTAACTTAAGGTTCCTGATTAATTTCTTTTACTTATTAGAACCTATGATGCATAATGGGCATAATTATACTTATTTGTTTACTCATGTTTGCTTTATGCCTTAATCCTTTATAAGTTTATTTATTGTGAGGACTCTTGCTTGAATAAGACACTTTCATGTTTCTTGGCTAATTCTTTGTTACTGGAACTGGTAAGTTCCCTGTTGAATAAAAACGAAATTGAGCAGGAAATGTGCTGTTTTATTTCATTTGCACAATCCAGTTTTAATTCAAAATAACTTCGATGTCTATGAGTTTGTGTCACAGCTTTGAGTTACTATGGTGCTATTTAAAACAATGAGAGAACTTGCCTCAGTTTAAGCATTCTAAACGAGGCATTTGTAATGTTATGTGTTCTGAAATGGTAGGTCTAGTAATTTAAGAATGGTGAGATCAAATTTCCAAAGCCAGCCCAGGCTTCACACTTTAATTAACAGTTTTTGAGTTGTCTTCTTTACTACACAGCTTTTCACTGTTTCTTTTAAGACAATGCATTCTACATGCTACTTCTTGCTTTATCTTTCTTTGGTTTCAGTGTTTATTTTTCCTCATACATTTCTTTTTCTTATGTTTGATCATGTTTGTAGTTTCATTGTCTAAAAGTGCTTTTTTTATATGTGTGAACACGTGTGCATATGGGGATGATATTCTCTATGAGTTTTAGTGTTTTCACTTACTACAATGCTGCACAATGGAGAAATAAGTTTATGATTAGAAGAAAATTGGAGCGAGAACAGAACGAGAAGAATTGGAAATTACAGGAAATTAATATGGGGAAATGATACAATTTGAGAGGCAAAGCATTGGATAATACAGGGCTTCAGCAAAGTCTAGCAGGTAGGACAAGGTTAACTGTTATTTTGAAAGATGTTCATATAGAATGTGTGATAAGAAGCTGCTGAGTAACGTAATGGCAAAGGCAAAGAGGCCACCTGAAGAGGATGTAAAGTGGATGGAGTTCATGGCGAGGTTGGTAATTTAGCATGATGCAAATGAAAAACTAATGCTTGTGGTAGTCTACTCAAGCCAATGCAGATTCCTAAGGTTATCATTTGTCTTGCTTTGTAAGTGCTTTCTGCCTCTTTGAATAGTTTCTGGTACAGAACCAAAAGCTGATTTCCATTCTAAGTAAATTTGTAAGTAAACCATTCTTTTGTTCTTTTTTCTTGTTTTTGTTAGTATTTAAGGCCGCCAGGAATTGAATCTGACCATCTTCTCTTATAGTGAATTTTCGTCTTGAGTCATGTTTATTGAAACTATATGCTTGTTTACATCCAAAGTCAACATGTGATAACCTTTCAAATTAGTATCCATTTTTATTAAAAAAAATCCAATAATATTAGCTTTAAAGGAGAAAGTGAGTGAGAAAAACAAAAAGGTCTCAGTTGAAGTAAAGGAGAAGAGCCTCTCAAATTAGTGTCCATTTTTTTGGCCTCCCAAAAAGCAACAAAAGAGACGATGAATTTGAAATGTAACAAATAAAGCTTTTTTTTTTTTTTTGTTTTTTAAATGCAGTGTAAGGTTCATGTGCATATATCATGTTAAGCTGTCAAATATTAAAAAAAAAAATAACATACTGCCAAGCAAAAGAATTCATCATCATTTCAATGCTTTTTGATATAGATAACATGAGATTCTACCCCATCAATATTTCAGGGCTGATTGCAGAATACATGAATACAAATCACTGAACACCTTTACAGCAGAGATAGATTTCAAAACAAATTAATCACCCAAAACCAACACAAACAAATGAAGCAAACTGAACGAAAAATGTTAGTATATGACCACAGATTACTGCTGTACTGTTTAGTAGTACCATTTATCCTATTGTATCACATTGTGTTTAAAGCTTGTGGTTTCTTCTTGCTTTCTGTTGCCAATGGAAGAGATATGTGAATGAACCCATACTTTCTTCACTGGGTGAAGTACTGCTTTTGATCATCTCCATGATCTTTTTGATCAGGTTGTGGAGGAAATGTTACATATTCCCTTAGGAGATGAAGCATTTGGTTCAAAACTACCCTTTTGCCTTTCAGTACAGTGGCCTCCATTTGGCCTCCTCACCACACATTCTTTAGGAGTAACTTGTTTCGTGCTCAAGATATCACTCATTGAAACTGTTGGCCTTAAAACAGGCTTTGGTTCATTGTCCATTGTTGGGTTTTACTTGTTCAAATCATGTAATGGAGACCGCGGAAGATGATGGTGCTGATGCTGATGATGAGGATGAGGTGGATGGAAATTGTTGATCTTGTTAGCATTGTAGACTACCTGTTTTTTTCTGTTCATGCACTGGAATCCATCTCCCGAGAGCCTCTTCAGCATCAAGTTGCTTTCTGTTTGCGATTTCCACTTTATTAGGAGCATCTTCGAATGCTTCTTTACCGTGTTTAACATCTTCTGAAGCTTCCTCCAGCTTCCTCAGGATTGCAAGTTTGGAAATATCTGCTTCAGCAAATTTGTGCATGGCATGAATTACTTTTCTGTTAGAAACTTCTTCTGCCCTTTGAACTTTTGGGTTTCGAAGAGATGGCTCCTGCTCTGGCAAGGAAAATCCCGATGAGTTGTCATTGCTTGACAAAGCCTTCATTCCAGCAAGGGCATTCATTTCAATAGGAGCAAGAGCTTCTTCCATCTTCTTGGCTGCAACCCACCTCATTTCATCAGTTTTTATACAGGGCTTGTTCTGTTCATTCCCTGGCAGTGGGATTGCTCTTGGAACTGCAGTTTTTGCAGGATCAACCATTTTCTTAAACTGCTCAGGCTTGGAATTGTTGTGAATAGGCGGCCTTAAAATGTTTGAAGAATTCTCAAAATTCCCATGATTTGCTTCCACATGGTTGGCAATCTGTGGCTTCACCCTCACTCGTTTTGGCTCCTCTTCTAGAGATGCCACCCCTGCAAACTTAGAAGTTAGCCTCTTACGGGTCTTTTCAAGTAAAGTTTTCTCTTTCTTCATTTTCTTATTTAGAGACTCAACAGAAGTTTGAATCATTCCAGAGTCATTGATAGTTTTACCAAGGTTCAATTTTGCTTGTTTCAAGTCCATCAAGATCAAATCAGTATACGAAATCCGGCACAGGCTTAAACTCCCAATCTGATCTGTTCATAGTGTTCCTTGTTCATTTCCTTGATAGCAGGAGCTGGCATGTGTTCATCTGAATTAGTCAAGTCTGGTGTGGTCATGCATTTCAAAGCTTCATTTTGGAGCTGGCTTTTTAACTCCTCCACAATCCTTTTTGAAGTTCCCAATTCATCAAGCACATCAAGTGTCTCCAATTCTTTCACAATCAGATCCTCCTCCAACTCTCTGCTTGTTCCTCCACTTTCTTTATGTCCAACTCTTCAATCCCTTGCTGCTCAAGACAAATTCTCGTCTATAAGAAAATACATTAACAAGAACTGGAATATATGCAAATTTGGGAAAAAAAAATTATACATGCAAATTGCAAACTAAAATTATGAAACAGGTTGAAGTTTCATGATTTCCCCTGCTTTTTCATTGTGAAATATAGCTTCTGAATCTGAAAATTAACAGGAGTCGACATGTCTAGTAGTTTATGCCATTTTCAAACCATTCGAAGCCATTTATTTCACTACAAATATTTCAGACAAAATGAAAGAGAAATATATAAATTAAAATAAGAAATCAAGGGAAGAATATATAAAACTACTACATTTAGTATTTAGGATAATCATAAAACAAAATTTCAGAATTCAAAACATGAAAAAGAAATAGGTAAAATTAAGAAATCAAAGAAATCACGACAAGAATACTATACCGGAATTACAGAAAAACACAATTCTCTTAATCAAATGTTTTTAAAAAATTCCATGTTAGTGGCACAGTTACAGTCTCCTCTAATTGTATAGAAGAAACCAAGAATTTTTTTTTTTCGTAAGTTAAAACTACAAAAGAAAATATTAAAACTATTTTTGAGACTGTATATATTCCACTAAGACAAACTACACAACAAAACAAAGCATACCTTTCTTACATCATAGTCAAACCAAAAGCAGAAAATACCTATATATGCCTCTCCAAACTTGTATAATAGCCCCCAAGGTCCGCTGCCACCAAACCGGGTCCAGCCTCCTTAACTGATCCGAAAGGCGGTGAAATGTCAATCTCAGCCCTCAAACTCACCCTCTTTATTCCTGGATTCGGGTCCCGGCCGGACCCACAACATGTCTTGGTGCAAAACCCAAAATCCTCGGAACTAGCCTTAGGCCTCACCTTCCGGATACCGGGTGTACCCGGAACCACTTCTTTGGGGGAGTCTTGAGGTTCTGTTGCCATTGCATATGCATACAAATATGCTTATAAAGTGAATGGCAATTTGAAAATGTAAATGTGAATGTGAGTGTAACGCACAGAGGAAGGTCTCTTTTTAAAGGGTGTGCAATTTGAGCTTTAAAGTAGAAAAAGAAGAAAAAAAACTATACTATGAGAAATCAAGAACTCTTTAGCGTAAGCTTGTTATGGTTGTCTCCATAGCAAGGTTGTGAATATAATATTTAACAACATATTGGTTTTTTGGAAAAAAAATATGTATGTTGTATAAGTTGTTTTAATATATTATTTTAAATTTTTTTATTTAATATAAATATATTTATAACTATACTTAAAATATTTACATAATAATACTATTGTTAGTATGCAAAATAAATATGCAATATCTTTAAATATCAAATAAATAGGTATAAAAAGTATAAAATAATATTATCAGTTTATAATATATTTTTAAACATTTAATTTGATCATATTTTTACGTAAAAATTAACCTTCAATTTAGTATTTTTAAATTAGAAAGGGACCATAATTGCTTCTTCAAAAGAGATTAAAATAAATATGATCATCTAGTTTGAAAAACAAAATTTAGAAAAAAAAAAACACAAAAATAGGAGTTGCTCTACAAAATACAGAGATGCAGCTCACAAGATAATTAAGTTACAAAATCACAATATTTTTCTAGGTCATGTACCGTAAAAAATGATTAAGTCACTAAAATTTATCGAAATTAATTAAAATTAATAAAAATAATTGATGTAAAATTGAAGGTAATTGTGTAGACATTTGAATTGATAAGATGTTATAAATAAATAAATTTCCTAAATTATGTTATGTTATTTATAAAGTGTTAATGGATTAAATGGAGCTAAATATTATTTAATGATAATATTAATATCTTTTTGTTGCAAGCTTGCCATAGCTTTAGAAAATTAGGAATCCAGTAAGAGCCGAATTCGAGTCAATGTAGTTTTTAATACATTTAATATATCAACTAAAGTAGAATGATGAATTTGAGCTTTTCCCAAACATAAATCTATAAATAAAAAGGGTTTTAATACAGTTTCTCACAATTTTGTTGACTAGCAGAGAACAAACATAAAGGGACAAAAGCAAATGAGCAACCAACCACTGAATAAAAGAGGGGAAGCGGGTGAGGTTTAAGGGTGTAAATGATACATTAGTACTCGTAAATTATTTGAGTTTGATTCGAAAAAAATTCGAATTCGGTTCGATTATTGTCGAGTCGAGCTCGAGCTCGAATAGCTCGACTTATCGATCGAGCTAAATTTGAGTATTTTTATATCCGATTCGAGTAGCTCGCGAGCCTAATCGAACTTTTATATTTAAATATATTTTTATTATTTTAATTAATAAA